GTAGCTCAGTGTGAAGGCCCTGAGTTCAGTCCCCAGCACTTCAAAAGCAAAGCAGGCACACACACCGTAAGCATACCTGTGTCCTGGGCGGTGGTGCAGGAGGTGGTGTGAGCTGCTGCAGCTCCTGCTGGAGGGATCTTGGTGTATCTTCCACACACTGGAGCAGGACACAGCTGAGGGCAACACAGCTGCATTTGTGCTGTTGACTTGGGTCCCTCACGGTGGTCGCAGTAGCTGTGACTTGAGGGACAAACCCCCCCAAAGCAGGAAACTGCAGGGAAGAGCCCCAGATGTGCTGCCCTCCGAGTCCGAGCTGCAGGCTTGGAGCCACATTCTGGGGCTGCAGCAGGAATTCGTCCGGAAGTGTAGGACTGGGTGCAGGTGGGGCCAGGGCTGAGGGGAGACTCGTTCCTGGGCCAGGCCAGCCTTCACAGGAGGGCTCCACAGGGTCAGGGGAGGCTCCAGGGTCTGTTTGCTTGCCAGAGATGAGATGACTCCTGTAAGCCACCACTCTTTGGAGAACGATGACACTGTTGGAAGGACCCTGCTTTCCCACTGGTGGCGTGGAGCACCTGTGGCAGGGCCCAGAGCCTGAGCCAAGCCAGGGATGACAAGCTAAGCCAGATACTGCAGCTCTCAGCAGGGACTTGGGATGTCTCCAGCATCACCAAAAAAACTGAGGAGATGATAGACAAGACAGGTTAAAAGACAGATCTGTAAAAAGAATCAAGGATTTTTTTTTTTTTTTTTTTGAGACAGGGTCTCACTCTGCAGTGCAGGCTGGTCTTGAACTCACAAAGTCCAGGCTAGCCTCAAACTCAGCAATCCTGCCTCAGCCTCCTGAGTGCTGGGATTACAGGCATGTACCACCACACCCAGCTCAAGAGGACATTTTAGAACCGAAAATTTAAAAAAAACAAAACAAAACTGAAAATTCAGTATCTGAAATTAAGAATTCATAAGATAGGCTGGGTGTGGTATCACATCCCTGTAGCTCCAGCAGTTTGGGAGGCTGGGGCAGGAGGATTTCAAGTTTTAGGACAGCCTAGGCAATTTAGCAAGATCCTGTCTCTCAACACGAATAACAAGGTCTGGGGCGCAGTGCTAGAACACCGTGGGCCGGGTTCCCAGTGCCACGCGCAGCCGAGGGGCAGCCTGGACAGAAGCAGGTAGTGGAATGGACTGGAGACAAGCGGGAAACGTCTGCGGCAAAGCTCAGAGCTCCAGAGTTCAGCGCGAGCCGGGGGGCGCAGCGACGGCTCAGTGTGCGCCTGGCTGTGGCCCGAGGGCGGGGCACAGCAGCAGCAGCTGAAGAGACGGTGGCTGGGAACTTTTCAAAAGCGAAGGGAGCCGTCAGCGGGTTCAGCAGCTCCATGAACACCGAAAACCACTCAAAGCAGCAACGAGACGACTGCAGGCGCCCACGCAGCAGCCCGGGCGGCGGAGACAGGAAGGCGCGCAGGACGCGCTCTCTTTGTCTCTCTCTCTTTCTTTCTCTCTCTCTCTCTCTCTCTCTCTCTCTCTCTCTCTCTCTCTC